ACAGACCTATAATATTACTGACATATTTTTTAATAGGACGCTCTATATTTTTTAGTATAAATAGAGCCCTTCTATAGAATTTAGCGATATAAGGTTATACCTACTTTTTGTAATAGTTGTAAAAAATTGTATTTTATGTCGTACTGACGACTATTTCAAACAATCATAGTCTCTTCTGTACTTTTAAATAAAACGTACCTACTCTTTATTAATCTTTTTCTACTTACCTCGAAAGCTTTTTTGTCTAAAAAAAACATCGATAAAAACACATAAAATTCACCAGGGTAGCTTAGGTATAACGTGAATCGTTTTAGTTCCAATTCATTCGTTGTTAAATTATTATGAAAAATGGTTACCCGTTTAAGCGAAAACAGAGAATTGAAATTTGAATTATGATTGGATGCGGTGATAAAATCCGTAGTCAACAGGAGGTATGTTGTGACTTATTCAGCATATCCAGACCAGAGTATTAGTCGAGTATATTAAGTAAAGTATCCAAAAAGTTTGAAAAAAAAAACGGAAGTATAAAAGATTTATCTGGGTATGGAGGACGAAGGAAGTAACCGTTATAATGTGATGCTCGCCGTTACTGAAAATCCTCACTCATCCATTAAATCTATCTCACATCTCAGCCAACTTCAGTTCACAGAAATCCGAAGTGACAAAAGTGGTATTCTTACAAAGTTAACGTCTTACAAGAACTATGGGCAGAAGACAGACAGAAGATACCTTATATCGCTAAATTCTATAGAAGGGCTCTATTTATACTAAAAAATATAGAGCGTCCTATTAAAAAATATGTCAATAATGTTATAGGTCTGCCAAACATGGCTCAAAAAAATAGAAAATATTGCAGAAAAGTGACAATTTCTATTTACTAATTGACCTGTTTCAGTGATTTTTTTTTAATTTCAACTGAAAAAAAAATATTAATTTTGTTTCATCGTTTTGGAACATTGTATAAATATAACATAAATAATTTATTTAATATTACAGATATTTTTAATTTATGTTTTCGTATTGGCACTTTTTTGATATTTTTAAAATTGCACGAGTGGCATCTTTGTTTAAAAAAGGTGCCTGCAATAAAGTGGCAAATTATTGTCCTATCTCTACCTTTCCTGTTTCTGGAAAAATAGAAATTATTCTGAAGTTAAAACTCCAGTTCTTTTATTTAAGTAATCTTCTGATAAACATAATGTGAGTTTGGTTTTAGAAATGGTTTTTATACTACATACCCATGTTCTCACTAAATTGACAAATTATTGTTGAAAGGCTTGAGGAAGGTTCATATTGTGCCATTACAGCTTGTGATTTAACGAGTACATCCGACTGTGTTTCACATGATATATTCATTAAAAAATTGGAATATTATTTAATTGGGGTAAGGGGACTACCAGCTTTGTTATTGCATGCAATCATATTTAAAAAGTCGTAAACAATTTGTTTTAGTTGATGATATCAAGTCTGATATACAATTGGTTCGGTAAGGATTACCTCAGGGCTCCGCACTAGGACCACTTTTATTTTCAATTTATGTAAATATGAACTGTTTTAATGTTGCGTATAGGATTTATATATTTTAACTTATTTGTTTAATACTACCAATTATTTTACAGTTCAAACTGAAATTTGACACTACGTTTGTATGAATGTATGAAATAAATGCTATATATCTGTCTACTCTATGTCTGACAGCACTGTGACATATTACTTTACGTATTCAGACTTCCATAAAATCATTTTTTGTTCGTTTCACCACAGTGTCTAGAAACGTGTCGAAACTTGAAGTCGCTCATTGAAGGATCGTCTTTCAATTTTTTCTTACAAAGAACTTGGCACACACATCAAAGAACTCCAGGACAAAACCAGCCCCATCGTCGCGTCTTTTTCTGAAGGAAATTATTCATTAGAAATACCCCGTAGTCATGTCCCCACAATGTATAGAGTATAGAGTAAGACCTGCTAAAAATAGGGAAATCGATTCCTTTTGTTAAAGTTTTTCCGGTACACATATATATATTCAAGTTGTTATGAGGTTTTTAGGGTTCTAAGTCGCGCAAAAATATTTTTTTCAGTCTTGTCGGTGCTAATGTCGCAATAAATAAAATTAAATACTTTATTGAAAAAAATTTTAAAAAAAATGTTTTAATAAAACTTACTTGTAACAAATTAAATAAAAAGTGATGTAAGTACTTATATACCGTACGCGCATAAAGTATGGAATAAATTCAGTAAACGCGCAATAAATTTTTTTTGGGAAAAATCCTCGCACAGGTCGATTTTTAATTTTAAAAATACATATTTTAGTATGAAAGGCGATTTTCAACCGTCATTTGTTTTCGAGTAATGACGTCATCGACATTTTTTTAAATAGCAACCCCCTATTTTTTTCTTGATTCTGAAAGATCGTTTCATTGTGGATTCGACAGTATTAAAATGTTGCCATCTTACATAGAAAGTTTTCGAGTAAATGACGATTGAATGTTAGAAAACGTAAATTTTATTCATTAAAAAAATAACAATTCCTATGTCAAGTAAATACAATTAATTAAGTTTTCTACCTAAATTGCCACCCACCGACTTCTTGACAATACGCAAGTCTGTGTAGAAATTCTTCTTGCACATTATGAATTATTTCTGGGGTAACTCTGTGTGTTTCATCTATAATACAATTTTGGAGTTCTTCTAAATTATGTGGTCTATTAACGTACACTTTGGACTTTAAGTAGCCCCATAAGAAATAGTTCAGGGGTGTAAAATCTGGGGATCTCGCGGGCCATTCTATCGGTCCTCTTCTGTTGATCCACCTCCTAGGAAAACAATTGTCCAGAAAATCTCGAACAGGGCGCGCATAGTGCGGATGTGCACCGTCTTGCTGAAACCATATGGTGTCATCAGAAATATCAGGGTCATTATCGTTAGGAAAAATTACTGCAAGCGCTGGAACAAGGTCATTTTGTAAAAACTCTAAATATCTTTCTCCTGTAAGGGTTCCTTCAAAGGAGAAAGGCCCTACTATTGTGTTGTCAACTATTCCAGCCCACACATTTAATTTCTGTGGATGTTTCTGTTTTCTATGGATTGTTTCTGCCATCCAATGAGGATTTTCCCGACTCAAATACCTGCAAGTTTGACGGATCACTGTACCATTGAGACAAAACGTGGCCTCGTCTGAAAAAAGTATTTGCCGGTGTAAATCTCTATTTACTTGACATAAATCCATCATAACTTCACAAAAGTGTAAGCGGCGGTCGGAATCGTCTTCATTGAGTTCCTGCACAAGTTGAATTTTGTAGGGATGATATTTTTCCTACCTCAGGACACGTAGCACTGTGGTCTGACTAATTTCATTGTTTAATGCAACCAATCGTAAAGTATTATGAGGATTATCTACCATACTTATCAAAATGTTCTGTTTGTGATCTTCACTAACACCTGGACGTCCAGGTTTTGGAATATCTACAACATAGCCAGTTTCTCTAAATTTAGATTCTATCTTACTGACTGTTGATTGGCTGATACGGCAATCTGGATGTTTTTCATTAAATAAATCGCAAACTTCCTGCTGCGTTCTAGTCTTATCCCCGCATGCGATAAGAATTAAAATTTCAATTCTTTGTGCGACAGTTAAATGTGCCATAATACTTTAAATTCAACAATATTTTTTTTTATATCGCTTACAATACTTGGAAAGTCGGTATGACAGTGTCACTTTGTAAAGATTTACACCTACGTGATCCGTAAAAAATTTCAGGCATTTCGAAAAACTAAATTTGATAACGTTTTTGCTTTACTCGAAAACTTTCCTATGTAAGTTGGCAACATTTTAATACTGTTGGATCGATAATGAAACGATCTTTCAGAATCGAGAAAAAAAATAAGGGGTTGCTATTTTAAAAAATTTCGATGACGTCATTACTCGAAAACAAATGACGGTTGAAAGTCGCCTTTTATGCTAAAATATGTTTTTTTTAAATTAAAAATCGACCTGTTCGGGGATTTTTCCCCCAAAAAAAATTTGTTTCATTTTTACTGAATTTATTCCATGCTTCAGGCGCGTACGGTATAAAACCAGTAAAGTAATTTGAACTCTTTCCGTTACAAACTCGTTTTGAACTTTTAATTTAAATATGGGAATAGCAAATCTGAACTCTCCCAACGATTTTTGAAACACTTCTGACGATGGTCTTTTTCTAGGTGTACTTAATGCGGGTTATAATGAACCAGGAACCCCTAGGGGTGGCTCCCGATATCGTGCTGCCACAGGACCTGGTGAGATGGAGCGACGTGGATCCCGCCCACTACCTGACTGACTACAGTGCCATCGGCGAGACCAAGCACAACACCTCGCCCTTCCCCTACGATCCCGAGATCAACCAAAAAATTATCTTATGGTGAGTTTCCCCACGTTTTGTAAATAAATTACGACGCCACCATGNGTATAGAGTAAGACCTGCTAAAAATAGGGAAATCGATTCCTTTTGTTAAAGTTTTTCCGGTACACATATATATATTCAAGTTGTTATGAGGTTTTTAGGGTTCTAAGTCGCGCAAAAATATTTTTTTCAGTCTTGTCGGTGCTAACGTGGCAATAAATAAAATTAAATACTTTATTGAAAAAAATTAAAAAAAAATGTTTTGATAAAACTTACTTGTAACAAATTAAATAAAAAGTGATTGTGAAGTTGGCAACATTTTAATACTGTTGGATCGATAATGAAACGATCTTTCAGAATCAAAAGAAAATAGGGGGTTGCTATTTAAAAAAATCTCGATGACGTCATTACTCGAAAACAAATGACGGTTGAAAATCGCATTTTATGCTAAAATATGTTTTTTTAAAATTAAAAATCGACCTGTTCGGGGATTTTTCCCCAAAAAAAATTTGTTTCATTTTTACTGAATTTATTCCACCACATAAAACCGTACGGTATAAAACCAGTAAAGTAATTTGAACTCTTTCCGTTACAAACTCGTTTTGAACTTTTAATTTAAATATGGGAAAGGCAAATCTGAACTCTCCCAACGATTTTTGAAACACTTCTGACGATGGTCTTTTTCTAGGTGTACTTAATGCGGGTTATAATGAACCAGGAACCCCTAGGGGTGGCTCCCGATATCGTGCTGCCACAGGACCTGGTGAGATGGAGCGACGTGGATCCCGCCCACTACCTGACTGACTACAGTGCCATCGGCGAGACCAAGCACAACACCTCGCCCTTCCCCTACGATCCCGAGATCAACCAAAAAATTATCTTATGGTGAGTTTCCCCACGTTTTGTAAATAAATTACGACGCCACGAAGGTGCGCGTTTTATTAGCGAAACGCGCGTCGAGGTATAGCAGTGAAGTACAGCTGTGGACAACAGAATGCGCCCAAAGCTTACTGCTCAGTGTAAATGTAGCCTTTGATGTAGATAAATTAGATTTGTTTCCAATATTTTTGTTTTTTTTGCTGTATTTATATATTTATACAGAGTAACATTTTTTCAACAATTTACATGTGTAATTTTTTTTGTTTTTAAATTTACCTCGGGTGAAAGAAATAAGTAATATTCAAAACGTTTTTCCGTATAATAAATTCCATATTTGCACCAGAAAAGTACAATTTTTAAACTTATATTTCCACAAATATCATTTTTCAAAAAATTGAACTCTCACCAGGGTCTTCAATTGATGTGTGTGATAATATCTGCTATTTTTATTGTGCTGCTTTTGGTTAGGCAAAAATAGTTTAATAAAAATAATCCGTAATCGATTCCTTTGGCACAAAGATTTTTTTAATTAATTTTTTATTTAAACAGATAAAACTTAAATCGTGCCACAAATAAGGGAAAAAACTTAAACTATAGTAGGATCGTATACGATGCAAAGTAGAGCAAAAAATTGTCGGCCTTTTATCAAAGGAAAATCGTGTCATCATTTTTAGGAGGCGTAAGATAAATCATTTCAAATTTAAAATGAAATTCAATGTAAAATCTGAAATACCGCTGCATACGCACTGTGTTCTGGTAGTAGCTGTAGTCGCCCAGGTGCATCGAGTGTACGAACTGGTCGGTTATACGTCAAATACTAACCTGGCGAGCTTTGCCGTCAATTAGAGAGCGCTTCCAAAAAACAAGTAAACAACAGTGGCGCGTACAGAGGTAAAATGTAGTACATATGTGGAATTTAGGAAACAAATTGGATTTATAATAAATTACATTTAAAATAAATAGTTTATGAGAATAAAGGAATTTTTGTAGGAACAAGGGTGCCAGACCTGAACTGATCCCCTCGTCCCTTCATAATGTATAAAGAAATTATTCAATTTGTAAAACCCTTAAAAGCGTACTTCATTGGTTCCCTTGACAGGCAATGATTTATTACTTTGCATCGAATATGATCCTACTATAGGTGGTATATCACAAACAAATACATTGCGAATGGGTTGGACCGAATATTTTACGAATTAGAAATTATTTATCACGGTTAATATTAGCTATCGATCCGATTTTTACGCCACATATTTAGGGAGTTAAGTACTTGAAGAAAATGGTAAAAACAAGTTATAAATTAAATATTAATGAATAAGCCCATTACGATTTGCTTTGTTGTCATATTGTATCTAATAAATTTAATAATTATTATTATTAGGTCCATATCGTAACTTAATTACATTTGATTAAATTTGTGTATTAGTTCTTTTATTGTATTGTACACGACAGTTCTATTCTTTTATGAAACTAGAAACTGAATATAAAAATCACCAAAAAGTTTCACCATTTTCCTAGCTATTGTCACCCCTGTCCGCAGCACTTTTATTCGATTCAACCAGAAAGGGTCCAACCTACACAACGACACTAAAATCACTCCGATCGAACCACTCCTGTACTCAACGGTCGTGACCGAACATTTTTTAAATTTTGTAAGTTTATACTCCTCTATACACTACATATATATATTTTCCTAACATCACTACCTTTTTATTCGGTAATGATCAAGTTAGCAGAAATGCTCAAAAGCATTTTTTTTTGTAAGTCAATATATATGTTGTAAAATTCAATAGTTTTTTAATGTCACTGGCACATGAGTATCAAATACAAAGTTTTTTAAATATTTATTTCCTTTTTTATGGCTTTGTTTAATTATAAAGAATATTTTAATATTATTTTTCAAGTAATAGTAATACTAAAGGAATAGCAAAATAGTTTTTACTATATGTTCATATCGAGAAAAGTAAATATCTAATTCAGGTCTACAATATGTGTTCCTAAGGAAAATATTATTTTATTCGTGAACATTATTTGTTACATTATAATACGTTTTAAATGAATATGAAAACTAACAAACACAAACAAAAAACTGTTTCTTACAACATTCGTTCCTATTTCGGCGGGGCTAAAATGCATTATCGTCCTAAGTCCTATTTAAGGTGGTATATCGGGGTCCGAAGGAAGTGAGGATGCTTTTCTTATGGGACTAAAGCCCTCTGACAATTTGAAAAAATTAAATTCTATTGAAATTATTTGCGATAAACATTATACGCACATAGCATATATATTGACTAATTAACTACATAAAAATATCATATTTAAGTAGTTTTAAATTATATTTAATGAACGCATAAAGACTATGTAGATGTGGCAACAACGCTAATAATTAACTAGCAGTTGTACACACTGCGAACCTATAGACCTCGGACATAGGAGATATTGCGCGTCAAATTCGGGTAAAGATGCGTACGCGTTCAAAAATGTATTGTGTGTAAACTATGTACAATATAATTATTATATATAGCAAATATATCGTATTATCCTCGCGAAGATTTGTATCCTTTATTTAAAATCCGTAAATCATGTGAACTGGTAAAACAACGAGAATTATGTTAATTTAGTTCTAAAGAAATGAAATGACACTCGCGCCCATCTCTCGTCCAAGTCAAAGAAAATGTTGGATGCAATTTTGAAGGTTCTGTGATAGAAATTACATTATTACGCACTGTTCGTGTTTTTAATCTCTACTTTAGTAATGTTACAAAAGTTTTGCAACTATAACTAATTTTTTAGATATAAAATTTGCTGAGAAATATTTATGTTCTTTTGTTATTCCGTGCAAATGCTTTTATCTCAGGTATTACTAATTATATTAATCAAGTAAAGAAAACTATGTAACCCTAAATATTGCTGGGTAATGACTACGATGTTTTTATAAAAGGATTTATCAACTGTATTTTTTATTCCAATAAATATATCACAGCTTCCTAGTCTTTTTTAATTAATCTAGTTTTTTAAAAACATTACAAAAAATCATCGGTTGTGAATAATTTATTGTTGATAACAATGTACATGGGATTTAGGAAAAATGTATATGTTTGAAATCAATTTCGTTTTTATCAAGTCTTTCAAATGTATTCCCTCCTTGCTGTCAGCTGATTGCGACGTTGCCACATTAATCCTCAAGTCAGACAGAAATGCAATTATTGGTTTCTGTTTCTAATTAATACAGCTGTACTATGTTCAAACCTTACATTAGTTTTACATCAAAAATAAGATAATACTCTATCTATGGAAAAGTTTTGTTTCACAATTTCTACATTTTTTTTTCAGTTATGGGCAAAAAAAGAGACGCACCGTCCATCTTCGCCATTTAAACCTATGTTAAAATGAACAACTTTCAACAACAATATCTCAAAATCTAGATTCAAAAAAAATTTCAAAAAAATATGACGCACAGAGGGAGCACTGTACATCTACGCATTTGAGTAAATCCGATATACCTCCTTAAGTAGCTAAATTTTCTATATGTTGTTAATTTGTGACATCAACAAACAGACTATATCAAATTCCGTGTGAAACTTCTGGTAACCGCATACATAATTCCATTCTTTTTACCGAATAAATGATGTGAAAACGTCCAATATGCTGGTTTTACAGCTTTAGTCACAATTGTATAACAGCTAATTTCAAACAATGGATCTCCAGGGAAAGCTTCACTTTTTTGGGACTTCCCACGGCACAAATATACTCGGGGGTAGCGTAATTTTACACTGTGAATGAGCATAAATATACAATAATTAATTATTGCAATATTCAACATATTGGCGTAACTATTCGAAATTTTGAAAGAAAGGGGTTATAAATGAACTAAGAATTATTCCACAGCAGTAAATATGTAACAGAAAAAAATTTTGAACAAAAATTTTTACATTTCGATGACACCATCAAAATTAACATTCATGTCATCAAATTGTTTTGATCAAACCGATTTGGTCAAATTACAGATATTGAAATAATAAATAAAAGTTATTCTAAGAATTACCTGAAAACCTACCAGTTTATTTTTTCAAATAGTATTTTGCTTTCTACCCATCTCCCATCTCTCATTTGATTGAAAAACAGAGAACCATTAGTTTAATCGGTTGATCAAACTCGTTGTGACGTCAAAATAACGTTTTATTTTGATTTGACGAAAATTTGATAGTCTGGCACTTCAATAAAAATTCTTTTGATGGCGTTTTGATCCAAATTTGATATCCTAAAGTAATTTATTCGCGAGAACAACGAAGGGTGCGACATCTATTATGTTAATTTAAAATCACTCCAATAGGGAAGCTTTCAGTTTAGTTTTTTAGGAAAGCTCATTTGGGTTGATAGTAATTAAAGATAATGCCGACTGCTGACATTTTGCTATTTTAGTCCTATTTAACAAATGGACGCTTTATAAAATGAAAAAGAAACATTTACATATACCTACCTACATTGATTTTTGTTAACGATATTTAAAAGTTAATATTTAATCTCCATTGTGAAATGCTTGATTGTTTGGGTAGGTATAAAAAAGTTTTTCAATCACATTGTAAAGAATAGTAAACTCAAAAATTTTTATTATTCTTCTACTTGTGTTTTATGTGCATTACATGAAATATGTCTTGTTTAAAATAATGTTAATTTGTTGAATTAAATACGAGAAANTGCATTACATGAAATATGTCTTGTTTAAAATAATGTTAATTTGTTGAATTAAATACGAGAAAAATCTTATGACGAAGAGCGAAATATATGTTATTTTATACATAAAGAAACAAATGAAGGTCAAATATTTTATGTATAGAATTAATGTGTCATTACATTTCAAAAATTCGAATCTAAATAATAGTAGTTTTTATCTATTTTATAATAAATATTGGAACTTCATTTGTTTTTTTTTTTACTTATATTAACGGTACGTATATTTATAAATCGGAACCTTATTTACAGATTGTCGTATCGAATTTAATAGATACAGCATGTTTTTGAATTAATTTTGTCATTTTTATGTTGAGTCCCTATCTATTTTTAAATGTTTAACTCAAAATATTTCATATATATTTCTTATTCTTATGATTTAATATCAAATGTAGTTTCTAAATACTAAATCTTGGTTTGAATTGTTAGATTTTTTTATTCAAACTGAAAATTAAGTGAAAATTGATCAACTTTATGTCCCGATTTGAATCCAGTAGACCTTCCTTGTTCCTTGTTAGGATACTCCCAAAATCTTATGTTGCTTTTCAGAACTAAAATAATGTGTAAAATATCAAAAAATGTTCTTTTGCAGTTTCAAATATGAAATCAAATAATCAAATTTTCATTCATAATTTTTTTAGTTTCCTATACACATTTCTACAAGTATCTTCAAAAATGTATTTCATGAAATACAATATCTCACTAATTACTTTACATGTTTATGATAATAAGCTAATGGGTTAATTAAAATTCCTTAACTATTACGAATAATTACAATTTTCTTTGTATGACTAATTTTCTGGTTTATTAGAGGAGGTATTTAGTCTTAGTTTCTCTTAACAATAATCAATTATCCGTTTGCGATATAAAATAAATCAGGGATACATCAATTTTTAGACATAAAATATAGAAAAGAATCCTTTAAAAAGTGTTGCTGATATCAAAAATCTATTCAATTTAAATTAAATGATGTTTTCTTGCCAAACAAAGTAAATCATTAGTAAAGTAAGTCTAAAGCAACTTTTACTCTTCAGGTCTGGTGATATTACTTCGTTACAAGTAGATGCCATCGTCAATTCTACAAACGAGTACATGAGTGATAGCAATCCAGTCAGTGACAGGATTTTCCAGAGGGCTGGGTCCGAACTAAAAGAAGAAATCAACCTAGATATAAGAGGTAAGTCATTTAAACACCATTAAAGAATAATAATAATACACCATTCCTTCCTTATGCCACTTAAAATTCCCCGTTATACTTCCGGTAAGACATAATACAAGTATTTATTTCAAATTGTTTGAGATAGGGTACCGCAGGGAACATATGTAGGGCCCTTTTACAAGATTTTGATTTTTGAGTGGTACCGAATTGTTTTTTGATTTCCAGAATGTAAAACGGGCGAAGTAAGGATCACCCGAGGCCACGCACTGCCAGCACGATACATCATCCACACCGTAGGCCCCAAATACAATATAAAGTACCAGTCTGCATCGGAAAATACTCTTCACACATGTTACAGGTATTTCAAAGGCAACGTCGCCGATTCATTGCTGATAGAGGTGGATTTTACCTTTTTTTTTGCAGGAACGTGCTGCAGAAAGCGAAAGAGATGGGCCTGCACACGATAGCATTATGCGTGATCAACTCCGTAAAGAGGAACTACCCACCCGACGAGGGAGCTCACATAGCACTACGTAAGCCTCGCAGAGAAAAATCCCTCGCGCTAGTTCTGGGATGTATTTTGCTCTAGTTAAAAATGCGCGAACTGAGACAAAAAACACTAGTACACCGCCCCTTCCCCCGACTCACAGATAAAACTTATGCATTTTAATCTCCCTGAAAGTCAAAAGGTCTCACCTTCAATGAACGTTTCGTAAATAATTGAAACCGTTGAAGGTAGCGGAGATTATCTTATAATCCGGTTAGCGTAGATTTACGTCACCTTTTCTACTTACGGTTCTAATGTATGCATATCGGTTCGATTGGGTAAACACAAAGGAGTACATTACTTGCCTATTTCCAGAGCAATTAGTACTGCGTGGTTTGTTGCTTGACCGATCCGGTAATTTTTAGTTAATTAAAAGCATTAGGTGACGGTAATTCTGGTGTTTGATGAATTATCGGTTAATTAGTGTAGACAGGAGGTGGTCGTGTGAGATTAAAGTGTAACGGTATGTACTTGTTTGTGTGTAAAGGTCTGAGCTAAAAATAGAACTGGAAACGGTGTTTGTATTACAGAAAGAAAAATTAATTTTTTTATTAAGTGAATTTAAAAATGCATTCGTTATTTTCAGTATTTCATTCTTTTGAAATTAAAGCAAATACTAGTTATTTTTTTTCTACTGTAAATATTTAAAAAACTCAAAAGTAACAGCGGTTTTCGAACATAAATGCTATTTTTCTGTTTTTCGTTCCCAAAAAACTGAAAATCGTGAACGAAATATGCTAAAATGATTCTCCGGAGAACGAAAATCCATAACTAAAAAATGTTTTACCTGCGATCGAAATATGAACCATAAATTGCTAATAACATTTTGAAGAACGAAAATGGGAACGAAAATTATCAGTAAAGTTGCTGCACTCAAACAATTGAAATTAATTAAAAAAAATGTAATCAGATTTTTTTTACACCTTTTTTATATGGATTTTGTATTTTATTTATTTTCGTTCCTACTTTGTTCTCAAATAAAATAGGAAATACATTAAAATGCGTCTCTCCAGAGAACGAAATCCATAACGATTCAAACGTTCCGTCTGAAATCAAAATTTGAATGTAAATCACTAAAAGCGTCACTTCACTCTGAAGAACGAAAATGGAAACGAAAAGTATTATTAGTGTGAAACGAGTGAAATTAACTAAAATTATGTAAAAACATTCTTCTGCGTGCTATTTAAGAAATCCAAATGTCATATATTTAACACTTATTTTTTATTTTATTTCCATTCCCATGTTCTCAAATTAAATACGAAAGGTATTAAAATGTTTCTCCTCAGAACGAAATCGGTAACTGATCAAATATTTTACCTGAAATATAAATTCGAATATAAATCAGTAAAAACGTCCCTCTAAAGAACGAAAATGGAGATAAAAATTGTTATTAGTTGTTCCACATCCAAACGAGTGAAATGAAAAAAAAAACGTAATCAGAGATTCATTTCATAATATGTTTTTTAAGAATAGTTTGTATATTTGAAAATGGAATTTTTGTTTTATTTCTTTTTGTTCCTACTTTTATTCCCGAATAAAATACGAAATATATTTAAATGTGGGACACAGAACAAAATTTGAATGTAAATCACTAAAAATATCACTAGAGAACGAAAATGGCGACAAAAATTTTTAATAAAGTTGCTCCATATGCAAACGATTAAAATTAAATTGAAAAACGAAATTCGTAACTATTCTAACATTCTTTCTGAAATCAAAATTTGAACGAAAATCACTAAAAACTTCACTACATTACTATAAAGGATGAAAATTGTTAGTAATGTTAATGAAGTTAAATTAAATGTATAAATTAAAGGATTTAACATTGTATATTTTTTAATTTAGAAAATAGAGAAAACATGTTCAAAAGTCTTTTCTTTGTCTTTCGTTCTCGTAATCAACATATCTGAGAACGAAATCAGTAACTAATTCAAACATTCTGCCTGAAACTGAAATTTGAATCTTAAATCACTATTAACATTACTATAAAAAAAATGAAAATCACACAATTAAAGTTAAGTTACAAAGTTATTTTTTTCTTTTCATCTTTTTTGCTTTCGTTTTCGTAAGTAAGTTTATTGTACATCCAGAAAAGAAAATGAAAATCAGTTCCTGATTTCTATAGATAATGATTTTAAGAATATAGACCCAATTCAATAATCAAAACTAATATTTTTTTCATTAATTCCTACTGTCGTCCACAGGCAAAATTATTACTTTACATGTATGATTATTGTACATATTATTATTATTGTTAACAATTTTTCATTCCTGATGCCAGCAATAACAAGGATTTAAAAAATATGCTCATAATTTAAAAGGGCTCTATAGCAAATAGGCAACCAGTAATACATGTTTATAGATTTTACTGCACAGTTTGTCTAAATATAAATTAATGCACAAATAACGGACTCTCCCATTTTAATGCAGATTTTCTATAAAATGGATTTGGTTTGAAACTCAAATTACTTTTTGCTGTAAAGAAATTTGTAATTTGCCGCTTTTGAACAAGCAGCATCGTAAATTACAAATTTCTTTACACTAAAAAGTAATTTGAGTTTCAAAGTAAGTCCATTTTATAGAAAATCTGCGTTAAAATGGGAGAAAGTCTGTTATTTGTGCATTAATTTATATTTAGACAAACTGTGCAGTAAAATCTATAAACATGTATTACTGGTTGCCTATTTGCAATAGAATCGTCTTGAGAATCAAAAGTGATATATATTTTTTATTTCCCTTCATATGATTATTGTAAATATTAATTTTACTATGAACAATTTCAGAAAAAAAAATAACCTTCCGTTTTTAACCCAATAAAAAGGGTTTAAACCGAAACCAAATCAAAAAAAATCAAAAAAAGGTTTCCCAAAAAAAATCCTATTGTGTTCTTTGATACCAAAAATCTAGATATGTAAAAATTGTCTAATCTCAGGTAAGATTCCTATCTGTTGATAGTGGGGAAACTATTACTCTTGCCAATTGGCATTGAATTACACCAGCAATATCTAGTAATTAATAATTATTCCAATATAAAAGTAAAAAATTACTTATATTAATATAAAAACACATTTCTGACAGTGAAATTATTAAATAATGCAATATTTCAAACAAATAAAGGATCTTTCAATAAGAGTGGCACTTTTTAAAATTTGAAAAGAAAATAAACCACAACATATCAAAGTAAATTGTGCTTTACTTTGAAGCTTAGACATTGCAGTTATGTTCTAAACAAAATATCGTTCAAATGTCCACCATGACTTTGAACACACTGATGCACAAGATGGCTTCAATTGTTAGGTCACTCTGTCCAACATCATCGTCGTTATGTCTGCGATAGCCCGACGAATGGTCACCTCCAAATGTTCCAAAGTTTGTGGCTTGTCAGCATAGACCTGGGCTTTGATGCAGCCCCAAAGAAAAAAAATCATGGGTGTTAAATCACATGACCGTGGCGGCTAATTCACACATCCATGTCTTGAGATGATGTGATCGCCGAACTTCTCCTTCAGCAAATCGAGTGTAGCAGCAGCTGTGGCACGTAGTGTTATCCTGCTGGAACCACAGAAATTCGCGTAACATGAATCTATAGAGGTTGCCATTGACCGTAGCGGTTCTTCTCTCATCGTCTCAAAAGTAGTAAGGTCCAATGATGCCGCCACGCCATAAACCGCACTACACAGTGAGTTTTTCTGAATGCGATGGCACTTCATGGACCACTTGGGGTGTTCTTCTTGCTCCATTAACAACACTTTTGCGTATTGACGAAGCAACTAAGACAAAAGTACGCCTCGTCTGAGATGATTTTTGCACTGAAATCAGGTTCAGCTTCCAACTGCTGTACGGACCAATCAACAAACTCACAACACAGCAACGAACTCACGATGCAATCTGTCATCATCCTTTGGCCTCAACTGTTGGGTCAATACAATTTTGTATGGATGCAGGACCAAATTCTTTCGCAAGATTCTCCAAGTTGACGTCTCAGATAGCCGCAACAGTTGAGAACGTCTTGAAACCGATACATTCGGCTCCTTCTGCGCTACTACTGCGATATTGTCCTCACTTTGCGCTTTACGTTGTCTTCTAGTCGTGTAGAGTGAAATCCCATTTAAACTTGGCCACGGAGCGGCATATAGTCTGAATAGAGAAATGGTGATGGCGACCCAATTCTCTGGCGAACAAATATGCACCCGCACAACCCACTACTGAGCTGCCACTTTGGTAAACATTTTTAAAGATTTCTTAAGGTTAATTAGGAAGCTTGAGTTCCCACGTGATGAAACGGCAAATTATACTGGATATTTTCACCCCTGGAAGCACACCAAAAAAATATATTAAAAACTGGAAATTGCAATTTTAAAAAGTATCACTATTAATGAAAGACCATTTATACAGTATTTTTGTTATTCTAATATCATCCTTGGCAAAGACATGTAAATATAGCTACTAGAGAAAGACCTTAGTATTTCCATATTTTACCAGGATTGTTCTTCAGGTAGCCTTCTTATCTGATGAAACGGTTCCAATAAAATGTGGAAATAGTAAGTTCTATAGTAGCTACTTTTACATGTTGGTTTTTATCAAAAGAGATATTAGAACCACAGAAATACAAGATATTTGTGTCAGGTAATAGGTAACATTTGTATATTAATTTTTGTTTTTCGTTCTCCATAAAAGTATTTTTCTTATGTTAAATTATCACATATCTCAGCTATTAACTATTTTTAATGTTATTTTCATTGTTGTCGAGACTATTACTATGTATTTCGTTCTCAGGACAATGTATTTGGTTTCATGGTTAATTTTTACAAGATTCCTTTTTAGTTAATTCTTAAATTATTCCATTTTGGTCTTGTTGGCCAGAAAAAATCAAAGATGGAAGATATTTTTTGATACCTACTGGTAACATACAAAAAGATTTAATGTTGTCATAACCTGGCAAATTTGTCATATGGTACTAGAAAATACTGTTTACTAAATTTTATAGTCAATTATCAGGAGTACGAAGATGAAAATAACAGAAATTTG